TTTTTTTTTTTTTTTTTTTTTTTATTTATTTTTTTTTATTTTATTTTTTAAATTTATTTTAAGATCCTGCCCTGAAACCAATTCTTCCTCTTAAACCTAGAATAATTTTATAGAGGCGTGAGAAACCTTAAAAGTACTTTAGTATGAAATTCCCTTAGAGAGAAAAAAGATTCCCCAACCATATTTAAAAACGAAAGGGGTTTTTATGGTTGTGGCTTATGTACATCTTGCAAAAAGTCTTGATGTAATAGAAGGGTAAGTAAAGATATAGTCCTAAATGAGAATGTAAAAATACCTATTAGACAGTTTATGACGTGTTACACGAAGAACCTAATTTACCTTCTAAGTTGCCCTTAAGGGTTAAGATATGTGTGCCGGACAACTAGACCCCTACACGTGAGGATCAGAGAACATATATATAAAATTCAGAAAGGGTTTGAACAACAGTGTTTCAAGCCATTTCAAAAGGTTTCATGATCAAAAACCTGAAGGTTTATCATTCATGGGGTTAAAAAAAAATATATAGAAATTGGAGAGGGTGAGATTTTATTAAAGAATTGGGAAAATCAGAGATGCAATGGATTTACAGACTAAATACCAGCCCTATGGGCTCAACTCAGATTTTGAGCTTTGCCTTTTTTTATAATTCTATACGATTTGATTAAAAGCCGGTTGATTTAAGTTTAGAGATTTTTCATTATCCTCTTATATATTACAATTTAACAATTACAAGTTTTATATGGAGATAGAATTGGCAGGAATAATAGGGGATATACTATCAATTGTCTTTCCAAATACTGTAAGTATGGACTCTGCCCTTAGATAATTACTAATATACCAGTAAAACAAATATAATTATTAACTTCCTATTTGGTTAGAGTGATTATATTCACTACAATATAGTGTGATGAATTACAGTCTGGTAAGCATTTATAGTGTACTTTTATATTGTATTTGGTATTTATTTTGAATTAAGGACAAATTTAAATTGTTCAAATTAATATTTTAGCATAGATTATAAGCTTTGTGTTAACACAACGATCATTGGAAATGAAATTGTACCGTGTACTTTTATGTATGCACATCAGGTTCTATTTAGGAAAGGGTTAATATGATGTGAAAGTTGTATTCATTTGATACGATATACATATGAATACTAGGGACTGATACTATTCTCCATTCTCTTCTTTCACATGTACCCCTGTTTTTATGGACTTTGGCATTTTATGAGTTACTGCAATCCGCGTGGATTCTCCTGCCCATAAGGGATGGTGGAAGATTGGAATATCCAGCTGAATTTATTATTGTTTCAGAAGACTACACGCAGATTTTAATTACAATAAGGAATTCCACATAGGAGTTATTTTGAATCGCTTTGTAGAGGTGAAGGTAGCTGACGGAACTCCGAGTGAGAGAATCCGTTCAGCTACCTCCAATCACGGCATGATAATGAGGCATGGACCGCACATGTCTTACCTGTGGGTGGTAACGACGTGTGAGGGACACACACACACCGGCAGTCCATTTGTTGATTTAAACGATATTTAAACAGACGGTGAACCAGGAAACATTCAGCTCATTGATCCGGTTGAAGAAGCAACGTCCCTGTGGTGAAACGCGTTCCGGTTTTATTTGGGCATTGTGCCATTTTAATTTATAGATTGTATTAATAAATTTGTTTTATATTTTTTATTCTTCATCCTGGTTCTCCATTAATCATTTTACACCTGGGAGTGCAGTTCCTAACCTGCACATCGCTCAGAAACTGAGTCAATCTAGACTCCCTGTTTGTAAGTACCCATTTGGGAACTTTATTTTGTGTTCTATTATCACAAGCCGTGCTGCGCAATCTTTGGTGTATCTATTGCCCTTCAGGACAAAATATATATATATATATATATATAAAACACAGTAGGGGTGGGTCGCCTATACGGACCCAGAAGTGATTCAAACCAGAGCTGGGTCCATAGCTCTCTGTTTGTGAATGTGTAACAATTATATATGTGTATAATCTTTTGGCCATTTACTATCTACACTATGTTTGATTATCTTTTGTAGATATCGGCTTATTTGAGACTTGAATGAGAATTTATCTCCTAAACGGAACAAAAAAAGGTGATAATTTGCTCATCCATTACATAAGCGCTACATTCTTTTCTGTTTAAGTCGTTGGTGATATTGAAGGAGTCACAAGAATGTTTAGCTGCTCATTTGTATAATATTACCATATATACGCTGGTACAACATATTGTGAGAAAAAAGCGCTAGTCCTTATCCCTATCTTGCATTTTGCCAAAATTATGGTGTCAGTGTTTTATTGGTAAATGGGTAATGGTGGGGTTATGCCTATGCCGATAAGGCGACTACGCAAATGTCATGTGGTACTGCCACTATCTCTGTCTGTGTGTGTGTGTATCTGTCTATGTGTGTATCTGTTTATCTGTCAGTGTATGTATCTGTATGTCTGTCAGATAGTGTATCTGTTTATCTGTATTTATGTCTGTTATTGGAGAGCTGCCACTATTGCAATGCACCAACATATTATTAATTTATTTATTTTTTGACAATCTTTATTTTTAGTTTTGTGCCGAACTGTAATATGGCAACATATAAAGCATAACAAGTATATCGTGCCTGTGATACATTGGGTATGTGTAACGTCTCATGTAAAACAACTTCAACAAAACAATGACATTATTAGGTTTTCTGCCTCTAACCGTCTCTTTTTTGTACTTAGTGCTACGGTGTTTTGTTATGTGAGTGGCCTATTTAGAAGCATTTTCCTTGGCATTAATGTAGTCTCATGTAGCTTACACTGTCTAATTTTCCCCTACTCTCTGAATTAGTGTCATCTTCTATGTTGCGGTCTCGAGAGGCTAGTGCTAGCTGAATGTGCCCATGCTCTTCCACTCTTTGTGGTCTATATGACAGCATATTGTTAGCTGTGTCTATGCCTGTCTGCCAGTGGCACTAAAATTTTCTTTACTTGGGGCACTGTGTGAGGAAACGTAGGGGCGACCCGTCTCATCCAGTCAGGCGTCCTGGGCTGTACCAGTCTGCCCATGGCAGCTGTGCCCATTGGATTAGTATCTGGCAGACAGGGCATGTCTCTGCCCTCATCGCTTCGGTGATGCAGATACGGTCCCATTAAGGCTGACCCTCTCAGTCAGTCAGAACCTGCGTGGCGTAGGGCCAGGTGAGCTCGGGTACTCTACGGGCACATGCCTCCTCTAGTGTAGCTTATCACCTGTATGCTCTTGTCTTCGATGTGTTACTATGAGACATTCTCCTTTTTTGGGCTAGCCTACCTGGTCGCTAGGTCCACATTCTCTCTCCTTAGTCATGTCGGGGTTCCAGAGCCCCCCCACCTTTTAATGTGGGTATTCATGGCTATGCATCTCCTGCATCGCCCTCAGGGCCCCAGTTGCGGGGAGGGGAGTGCTTAGGGTGACCCCCCCCCCCAGCCCCACCAGGCCCAGACGATCCCCACCCACCCCTGGCCCGTCCGGGTGCCCAGCTCCTCCCCCCAATGGTCACGGAGTCCTGTGTGGCCTTCCTATCTTCTGGACAGGTAGATGTTGGTATTTGTCCAATTTGTCTCTGAGTGTCGCTGTGAGCCTCTCCATCTCGTGTATCTCTTCCACTTTGTCCATCCACTGCTGGAGGGTAGGCACCTGGGGAGACCGCCATCGAACTGGGACCATGAGCTTGGCTACGTTGAGGAGGTGCTTGGTTAAGGAGGATTTATATCGTGAGATAGGCATCGGGGTATGGTGGAGCAGCATCTGGAGTGGCTGGAAAGGAAGGTCGCTGTCCGTGACCTCTTGTGTTGTCTGGACTTCCCGCCAGAATGGGATGAACGTATTACAGAACCACCAGATGTGTAGAGCTGTACCTGGCCACCCCCCACATCTCCAGCATATATCCGGGACATCAGGTAGCATGCGGTGTAGCCTGTCTGGGGTCCGGTACCATCCGGTGAGCAGTTTGTAGTTTATTTCCTGCATTTTAGAGCATATGGAACTTTGATTTGTCAGTTTGTATATTTTCGCCCAGTCTGGGTCAGTGAGCATGATTCTCATGGCTTTCTCCTAGTGTGCAGCGTGTTTTGCTGGTTCCAGTGGGGTTGCCGCTATTAGCAGGGCATATAGGAGTGAGATCCCCCTATGGGGGGCATGTCCTGTTTGTGCACAGTCCCTCAAACTCTGTCAGGGGTCTGTGGAAGAGATGTTTCCCATTTTGTGATTTATAGTATGACTTGACTTGGAAGTAGCGTAACCTATCTAAGGGTGTCGGGGTCCTGTCCCCCAGCAGGTCTGGTAATTGTTTGAGCTTGTCATTTGAGCACCACTGGTGCATGTAGGATCAGTCTGTCCCACCGAACGCGAGGAGGTCCGCATATGCTAGGCCGTCCGCCACCTCCGGGTTGTGCGCCACCAGGGTCAGAGGCCCCGGCACAGTGGTGAGCATGAGTTTTGTCCTTATCGTGCACCAAAATTTCAGGGTTGCACCTATGAGCGGGTGGTGCTGTGCTATTGTGTCTCTGATAGGTTCGTATCTCCATACCTTTTATCTGATACCTCGTAGGAGTCTTGACAGAAGCACGTCTCCGAATTCTTTAATGTAGCAGACCGGTAAGCCGTCTAGTCCTGGAGCCTTGTTCAGTTTAGCGGACTTTAGAGCTGCCTGTAATTCCTCTAGTGTGATTGGGGCTTCCAGGGCTTCCACGTCCTCCTGACTTAGGGTCTTAGTTACATATTGCTGTAGGTATGCTGTTATCTGAGCTGTTCTTTCCTGCTCCCCGGCGGTTCGGGCTACGTTGAGGTTGCCACTTACAACGAGCAGTCGTTCCCGGAACTGCTCGAGTTTATGCAGCTTGCTTCTCAGAAAGCAGTGTTGCCATGTGTTGGGAGCGTAGATGCATCCAAAAGTATACTTGGTGTCCGCTATCGAGCCTTTCAGAAACAGATAGTTGGTGGGGTCCCCACAGACCTCCTTGCAAACTAACGGAAAACCGTGCTCGCAAACAGAACTGCGACCCCAGCTTTTTTAGCTGAGGGATGGTTGGCGAAGTACCCCACTGGGTACCTGGAGTCACGGAGCGCCGGGCCAGCTACTCCCCTAAAGTGCGTCTCCTGTAAGAATGCAATGGAGACCCAGGATTCCCATAGGGAGCGCAAAAGGTGGGATCTACGTTCGGGGGCATTCAGGCCCCTCGCATTGTGCGACCAGAGATGGAGCGGAGCAGGCAAGAACCCCAGACCTGCTGAGGGGTGGTGAAGCTGGGGCCCCCCAGGGCCAACAGGGGAAGGGGGGGGGACCCCCAAAAGGAGCACGGGCAGGGACATGAGGGGGCGGGGGAGAGACCTCCAGTGGGACAGGGATGGTAGGGATGCAGAGGCGACAAGGAGAGCTGTGCACAGAGGTCAGATTCTGTGTTCCCCCTGTGAAGGGGCCCTACTGGGACGGGGGGAAAGTAGGCGGGAGCTGGACCCCGTAGCAGGGGTATATCGTAACTTGGTGCCTGTGGTCTGGTGTCGAGTGGTGCACCCCTTATAGGTGCTAACCCCTCCCCCCAAACCATGGCAATAAAGGTACCTGTCACTTGGGGCGCGTGCTGACGTGACCAGCGCAGTGCGCGTGTCTAGTGCACTTGTTACTGTCTAAGCTACTGACTGTAAATTGTATAACTCAGCCAGAGTATATCTGGTAAAATAGAGTGAGTAGCTAAGAGTTTTGAGTGTGCGCCTCCCCAACCAGTTTGGCGTGTGCTGCGTCGTGATGTAATGGTCATATGCTCGCTAATAGGAATATTACGTTTCATGGTGTATTATTGTAGGTGTGAGCGGTAAGCCTCAATGGCGGGCGTCCTGTCGTCCTGCATGTATTTGGGTCTCATCCGTGGGTCTAAGCATTCCACCAGCGGTGGTGGGTTTGTGCTTAATCTCTAAGTCCCTTGTTTGAGGTCCCGCCTGGATGGCAAAGTGGTCAAGGGCCCTCTCTTCGGTTGGCAGTAAGGGGTCGGTCCTGTGCGTCCCGTCAGGTGTGGTGTGGGTCCCGTTTTCCCCCCTGTCGTGTGTGTGTGACCCCCCTTCTGTGATGCCTTTCTAATCCAGCTTGGTCCTCTTGTCTTCTTCTCCCTCCCCCCTAGCAGCCACATCAGGCCTCTGCGAGGGCCCCCCTCCATTGTGGCGGCCAACCCCGGGGTCCAGAGCGCCCGTCCCCACCCCCACATTCCCTAACCAAGTAGCAATGCCTGGCCATGGAGCCGTGAGCCCCCTCTCCCATCCCCCACCCCTCTCCCCCTGCCCAGGCCACGCTATTTCCCTACGGTAGCTAGGGTGTAATCAGTGCACACCCCGTGTCAGTGTACTGCCTGCCAGCCGCATGTAGGGGGTTGTTGGGTATGTATGAATGAGTCTGGCGTTTTACTGCTTATTAGCGGTAGGCCCCGGCCGAAGCTTGATTCCCCCTCCACTGCGCTGGGGTCCCGGCTGGCTGTTGTCTGAAGCGTGGTGGTCTCCCATCATTCCGTGTCAGGGGCCCTCCAGTCTCTAGTCCCTCAGAGATCCGCTTCCCCCATGCTCCCTCCCAAAAGTGTAGGTATGCTTAAAGCATATCCGTATTCGTGGACTAGGTGTAGTGCATTGTATCCCCTGGTGCCCCTCCCCCCCAAAAACGTCCTCCGACCACCCATGTCCCCTCCTATACAAGTCTACTTACCGACCACCCGCCACTCAGTCAGCTCCCCCGACCTCCTATTCTTCCGGGCCGGAGAGACCTCCCCACTGGCATTGTGGGGCATTCCTCTCCCGCTGTGCTCCCTCATGGAACAATGGTGTCAGAGGGTCTCTCCTTGCAGCAATGGTTTCTTCTATAATCCAATTTCTGACTCTGACCACCGGCAGGAGCAGGGCCCTCAGAAAACCTGGGATGTCCTCTGGCCAGCGTGCGGTCACCCATGAGTTTCCTTGGTTCGCTTGGAGGCTAAAAGGGAATCCTCAATGATCTGGGATCCTCTTGTCACAGAGTGAGCTTGTAACTGGGCGCAGGGCTCTTCTTGCATCCAGCATTAGTGTAGACAAGTCCTGGTACAGTGATATGTCGACTTTGCGGAACCTGATGGTGGGCTCCCCTCTCGCAGCCACCATGATTCTTTTCTTTCAGGCCTCCGTCGTGCAGACAGCATATGACATCTCTTGGGCTGCCATCCTGCCGCGCGGGGCCCAGTGCTCTGTGCGCCCTCTCGAAGCGAATGATGTCTGGTGCTTCAGCTCCCAAGGTGTGCTGGAACAGCGCTTCCATCGTGTTGGTGAGCGGGGAAGAGTCAGTTTCAGGCAGGCCGCACACCCGTATGTTGCTGCCCCTGCTGCTATTCTCCAGGACTTCTACTTGCCTACGTATTGTAAGCAATAGGTTGCCCTGCCTGGTGACAGCCATTTCTGTAGCCTGATGTTGCTGGGAACAATCTTGGGCCGCGGCTTCCACCCCCTCTACCATGCCCTCCAGCGCTGTCAAGTCTGTGCGCAGGCCTGCCAGTTCTTCCCGCAGTGCCCCCCGGAGTTCTTGGAACACACTGGGTGAGTGGCAGCGATGCAACATGGCTGTGTAATATAAAAGCAAATACAAACATACATGCTTCCTCTTAAAAATGCTGTAGAATACTACATATTCTATGTTTCTGTTCATATTAGGTATGGATATCTAACATGTTAAAAAGAACAGATGGTAATTTGCTATTCTGTACTGTGAAAATTCTGGAACACTGGTCTGTATTAAGAGGATCGAGGGTCTTAGAGCTCCAGCTAAAAGTTCTGATGTCATTATAAACTACTAAAGGAGGGTGTTCAACATTATTAAGCAGAGCACCATTTTCATGCAATATGGGGAAGAAACAGAATCTCTCTGCTGCCGAAAAAGAGTGAAATAGTTCAATGCCTTGGACGAGGTATGAAAACATTAGATATTTCACAAAAACGTAAGCGTGATCATCGCACTATTAAGAGATTTGTGGCTGATTCAGAGCACAGATGGGTTAGTGCAGATAAAGGCATAGTGAGGAAGATTTCTGCCAGATCCATGCATCAGATCAAGAGAGCAGCTGCTAAAATACCATTACATAGCAGCAAAAAGATATTTGAAACTGCTGGTGTCTCTGGAGTCCCACGGACACCAAGGTGTAGAGTCCTCCAGAGTCTAGCAACTGTCCATAAACCTTCTATTCGGCCGCCACTAACCAATGCTCACAAGCAGAAACAGCTGCATTGGGCAGAAAAACTGATGAGTGCCGTGCAACCCTGGATGATCCAGATGGATGGAGTAGTGGATGGTTGGTGGAGTCTGTTCCAACAAGACTGCGACATCAGTGAGGCAGTGGTGGAGTCATGTTTTGGGCCAGAATCATGGGAAGAGAGCTGGTCGACCCCTTTAGGGGTGCAATGTATGTGGGGTTTCTGACTGACCACTTTCTTCCCTGGTAACGAAGGAAGAACTATGCTTTCTGTAATAAAATCATCTTCATGCATGACAATGCACCATCTCATGCTGCAAACAATACCTCTGCATCAATGGCTGCTATGGGGATAAAGGGAGAGAAAGTCATGGTGTGACCTCCATCCTCTCCTGACCTCAATCTTATTGTGAAACTTTGGAGCATCCTCAAGCAAAAGATCTATGAGGGTGGGAGGCAGTTTACATCCAAACAGCAGCTCTGGGAGGCTATTCTGACATCTTGCAAACAAATTCAAGCAGAACCTGTCCAAAAACTCACAAGTTTAATGGATGCAAAACTTGTGAAACTGCTATCAAATAAGGGGTCCTATGTTAAAATGTAATGTGACCTGTTAAAATGTTTAAAAAGTTAAAATGTTGTTATAAGTTTAATTGAAATAGCTTTTGATTTCAGTAAATATGCTGCAAACACAACAAATGACAATTTTCAGTTCTTTACAACCTATAAAGTGTTTTGAAACTCACTGTGCGTAATAATTTGGAACAGTGCATTGTAAGTTTTTTTTATGTTTTAAAAAAATACTGTTATCATTAGGAGGTTTGTTCAATAAATTTTGAATTGTACTCTTAATAGTTGATAACATGAAAATTATGCTGACTGTTATTTACATCAATTATTTAGGTAAATGAGAAAAATATAATTTGCATAATTTGGAACAGGGTGTAGTTCAAAGCTGTATTCCTAACACTATTGCCCTCTGGTACCCCCTTCCCTTGCACTAAGCGTGAAGATGTCCAGCATTGTTTAACCCCTTAAAACCGGAGGACGTACAATTACGCCCTCTAATAGGCGGCTCTAAACGCCGCCGGGCGTAATTGTACGCCCTCCGGTTTTTGTTAACTTACCCGGTCGCCGGCGGTCCCACGCCGGCGATCGCGGTTGGGGGGACTCCCAGGGAGCCCCCCGCGGCACGTCCGTCCCCGTCGAAGCCCCCCGGCCATGTGAGAGTGGGGTCCTAGCGAGGACCCCACAATCACATGGTCGGGATAGCTGGCTTCTGTATTGCCGGCAGGGGGGCTGCCTGTAATGACAGGTGGTCCCCCTGCTGGCTGAAAATAAAATAAAAATAAGTTAATGGTGTAAAAAAAAAATAATTATATATACTTAGATCATATATATATATTATATATATATGATCTAAGTATATATATACACATATACATACACACACACACATACAATTGCCTAGGTGTATTTTACTGCCATTGTATATATATATATAATTATATATGCGCTAATATCAAATTACAATTTAGACTGACACTGATTAAATATATATATAATTACGTTTATATATATTTATGTATATAATATGTAAAAAAATAAAATGTAAATAATGCTTAAAAAATAAAATTAAAAAAATATTTAAAAATAAATAATTAAAAAATATATAGATGTGTGTTATTTCGTTCTAACTGTTTTGTGAAATTAATATATATATATATATATATATATATATCAAAATACACGAACGAAATAATATATATCTATATACATAAATATATACGTATATATCACTATATATATACCTATATATTAATAAAAATATTTTTAAAAAATTATATAGATATATACATATATATACACATACGTATATATATACATATATTAATTCTACATATATATTTATGTAATATTTTTACATAATTAGGTATCTTAATTAATTACAATTAGCAGGACCTGCATGACAACCCATGCCTAAAGTAAAGGGAATTTAATTTGCTAGCACTATATTTAACCCTATAACTTTCCAAGACACCATAAAACCTGTACATGGGGGGTACTGTTCTACTCGGGAGACTTCGCTGAACACAAATATTAGTGTTTCAAAACAGTAAAATGTATTACAACGATGATATCGCCAGTAAAAGTGACGTTTTTTGCATTTTTCAAGCACAAACAGCATTACACGGACAATATTATTGCTGTGATACTTTTACTGTTTTGAAACACAAATATTTGTGTTCAGCGAAGTCTCCCGAGTACAACAGTACCCCTCATGTACAGGTTTTATGGTGTTTTCAAAAGTTACAGTGTCAAATATAAGGCTTGTTTCATTTTTTTCACATTAAAATTCGCCAGATTGGTTACGTTGCCTTTGAGACCCTATGGTAGCCCAAGAATGAAAATTACCCCTATGATGGCATACCATTTGCAATAGTAGACAACCCAAGGTATTGCAAACAGGGTATGTCCAGTCTTTTTTAGTAGCCACTTAGTCACAAACACTGGCCCAAATTGGCGTTTTTTGCATTTTTCACACACAAACAAATACTAACGCTAACTTTGGCCAGTGTTTGTGACCAAATGGC